TATAGACAACAAATTCTAGAAGAACTTTAGCCTTCATAGGTGTATGAGCCTACTTTTTAAACCTAACAACAATCAGAAGGAAGAGATGTCACCACTGTGAGATAGAAAGTAAAACAGGTGACTTCTCACAAGTCTAGGCTTGGTGGTGTCTGTAAATGAAGATCACAGTTGTTTTGGTGAAAGGAAAAGCCCATTTTGTCTGCCAGGGTTAGCAGCATACCTAATTATAGCTTCATCCACTTCTGTGGCCATACCAGATAAGGTCTCTTACGCAGGGAGATTATCTCCAAGTGGAACAGTTTTGAGCCAACTTAAATAAAACAAAAGTAACTTACCTCATTCTTCAGTCATCACTAATTAAAGATACCCTTCTGCATGAGGCAGATAGGGCCTTTGCTTTCTTTTAAAGTTACAAACAAGCCCTGGAATACAGATTGCCCAGAGAACCCATTCTATTTGTGGCTGTGCCGCATGAATACAACCTCACAGGCATTTCAGGACAGCATCGCTAAAATTGTCAAAGCTTCCGTATCAGTCAACAGTTAGCAGAAGTTTACAGTTAACAGAAGATGCTCTGCCATCTTCCTCTTCCTCCTCTCTTCTGAACCCTTGATGCCAACTGAAAGGGAATAGCATGCATGGGCCACTCTTCCAACTTCACATCAGAAGTGACTATCTTACTAAACACCTAACAGCTGTGGCTCGTACAACCAGCCTTCTTCCAGGGCCTCACCTCACCCTGGGCATTGAGTATGTGTATGTTCCCCAACTTAGTCCTCATGGATACCCTGTGCTAGGTATAGTTATTTTTATAGTCTCATTTTACAAATAAACTGATTAGGTCACTTGTCTCAGAGTGTTTGTGCTTGGCACCATGTTAGAAGTCTATCCAGGTGTTCTGCACTGATTACAATTGTATTTGTGTGTGTGTGTGTGTGTGTGTGTTGGTCCTGGGGATTGAACTCAGGCCCTTAGTGTTATCCCTGAGCTTTTATGCTCAAGGCTAGCACTCTATTACTTGAGAGCCATAGCTACCTTTGTAGTTAATTGGAGATAAGAGTCTCGTGGACTTTTCTGCCGAGGCTGACTTCAAACTGTGATCCTCAGACCTCAACCTCCTGAGTCACTAGGATTACAGGTGTGAGCCATTGGCACCTGCTTCTATAGTACTTACTTCAGTGGAAAGGTCAATCTAGTATTGAGCTTAACTGCAATGCATGTTGTTTCTTCCACAGCTGCTGGTTAAAATGAAGCTGATAACAGGAAGGCTCTGGGAGGCCATGGCAGTTCAACATTATATGCCACATCCTCCAGTGACTCAGGTTATAAAAATATACAGTTCTTCAGGCAGAGGACACCGTGATAAAACTAGAGGTCATAGATCTCCAAAGAACAGCAATGTGAAACACAAATGGCTAATGAGTTTAACCAAACCCTGGGAGGACATGAAGATTTGGGGAGAAAGGCGAAAAGTACTGGGCTGCTGTTAGTACTGCAGGGGTGTAATGTGTTTTCTGTTTGTGAGTTCTTGCAATCGCAAGGCAGTAGCTGGCCAGTCTTTAGTTCATGGTTGTAGGTAAAAGCAAATGGTTCCCTTATAAGCTGTGATTTCAGTCATCTGATACTGCAGAAATTGTTCTCAGAAATACAGGATGATAGAAGAAGAATAAATTTCCACTTAAGGCAAAGCCTAACCATGCACACACAAACATATACACACACATCAATGGAATCACCAATACTTTTGATGAATGATTAGTGTGGTTTTTCCGAGAACCTTGCAAAATAACACTGGAAGGTGTTTTTGTACAGCCTTAAGATTCATGAGAACTATTAACCTCCATATGCTATCATTTTGCCACAATAATTAATGGAAGGGTGGAAAGGGGTTTTCCTTAGGGGATTTCTAAAATAGGGGCCTGATCACTTTATCCATCTCTAAGTTTACAGTGCCAAACATAAGTAACACAATAGACAAGTAGTGATCTTGTATTTATACCATGAGATCTTTATTTTTTTGGATTTAGGAGAACCTACATGGAGAAGAGAAATATTGGTTCATTCAATTTAATCATTCTCTGAATTTACCTGGTATTGGTTATATTTATCCAGAGAAATATAGTTTAAAATAACATCTTATACAATTTTAATAAGGATTCATTAGTACAAAGTGAAATGGCTTGCTTGCAAAAATAATGATGTCAGGACTGTGTCTCTTTAGGAATATCTGGCCTATTGCTAATGCTCAAATTTTTATCTATCTATCTATCTATCTATCTATCTATCTATCTATCTATCTATCTATCTATCTATCTCTGTGATTATATCATTAGTGTTCTTTTCATTTAACCATTTTGACTATAATAATGATGGTAATAGTGATGGTGGCTGTGCTATGTCCTTAGGAAGCAGTATTCATCAGTCTTCCAACACTGCTACCAGATAGTTAAGATTCTTCACAGGTGTGTGATAAATGAGGATTAGTGATTCACCGTAACATGATCAGACCACACTGCTAGAAAGAGGTAGAGCTGGGATTTGAACTAAAGCATCTCTGCTTTGGGAGTCTGAATTCTTAATCACTGTTTGTAGATTGCCTGCTAAGAGCCAGTGTTGGTTTGAAATGATTCATTTGAATTTTTGCCAAAAGTTGAGAGAAAGAATCCTTTAGTTTATTTTAACATTATTTTGTGTGTGTGTGTCGGGGGGTGAAGGGTCTGAGAGGTGTGCACTGAGAGGGAAGTAGTTCTGGATTGTTCTATACCCCAGCGGAGGTCATGTTTTCAGTGATACAGCTCTTCAAAAACTCACCATTGGTGATTCTGGAAATGACTCTATAATTTATCTGTGAGTTTTTTTTGAGCCGCAGGGATACATTTTTCTATGGATACCTTGTTACACAACAGCCGTGAAGTTCCAAGAATAGATAATAAAAGGCAATTTAATTTAACTTATAATTAAATGAAGTGATAAACTTGTAATTAAACTAGAGAAAAAAGGTCCCATTCAGTAAGATGTAATTTGTAAAATTAAGTTTGATATTCAAGGAAATGCAGACTTAATGAGGGCAAAAGACTTTTTCTAATCAGAAGGAGGTTTCTGATTTAAAATGGGTGAACATTTTAACATAGGCCCCTTGGACCTTTTTATTCTAATTTTTCTTTGAAGACTGGCCTCTTGGGTTCTTTGAACCTAAGGTAGAGGTGTGGTACAGAGGCCCGCTCAGACTCAGTGCCACCATTATTGGATTGATTGGATGTATACTTAAATGACAGGAGGAAAGGTAAGGAAAGGAGACAAAGAGAGGTCTTTGGTGGGTGGATGGCTGGGCTGAATGCCAACAGGAGATGGCCAGGGGCTCCAGAGAAGATGTGTGCCCACGTGCTAGGTATGTAGGAAACAAGGGCAGGAGGGACAGGGAAAGTGAGCCTATAACTTGAGGAAGATGTGCAGGTGTATGTGAGAAAAGACGAGAGTGCATGTGTACGTGAGCATCCCAGTACCATGGTATTGTGTATTCTGTAAGTTTGCACTTAATCAATCTACCAAGGACTGTCTTTGTGCATTATTTAATTTGCACAATAGTAGATAATGATAGTAGCCAGGATGAAAATAATGAAGGCAGTGAGAAAATACATGACAGAGGCATTGGTAAACCAGAAGGGAAATCTTTCAGAGGAAGTGTGATTGAAATCAGCACACACTTCCTGAGGAAGAGTTCCCGACAAAACAGTGCAAGGACAGAGGCTAGAAGACCCAAGCGCAGGGGAAGGATAGAACCTAGTAAATGCTGTAGTAAAGGAAACAGAGATGTGATGAGAGAGAAAAAATGCTGCACGTCCACAAATGACCTGTAGAGTCATTCAAAGTGCAGAAGGAAGCAACTGTGAGGTTTTGAGGGAAAGAGTAACAGGGTCAGAGTGGATTTTGTAAAGCTGCTTCGAAGATGAGGTGTTGGAAGTCAAGGAGTGGCAGTGCTCATCAAAGCAAAATCTGTCCCTGTGACCGGTGCTCCATAGACCAGCAAGTAAGACTGCCACTGCCATCTGCTACTTCACAGCTGGAGGGACGCTCAGTGTGAGTGATATGGTTTGAAGACTTACGGATTTCTTAGAGCCATAGAAAATGAAAATGGGAGACTTACAGAGTATTGAAACAGTCTGGCTAAGAGGGTAAACATCTATTGTACCATGTATGACTGCCTTTACTTCATAGAAGAAGAAAAGGGTTTTTTTTTTGGTTGTTGTTGTTTTGTTTTGTTTGTTTTCCCGATCCTGGGCTTGAACTCAGTCCCTGAGCCTCTTTGTGCTCAAGGCTAGCACTCTACCAATTGAGCCAAAGCACCACTTCTGGCTTTTTCTGGATAGTTTATTGGAGTTAAGATTCTCATGGACTTTTGAACTGTGACCCTTAGGTCTCAGCCCCCTGGGTGGCTAGGATTATAGGCATGAGCTACTGGTGCTACCCCTGCTAAGGTTTCTTTCTATTTTTTTTTAATTAAAAATAGATACAACTGCAAGGTAAACCCTAGTTTTATAGACAATGCTCTACTTTTCATTTTCACGTTTGCAGTTAGAACCTGAAAACCTGGCTTACAGATTGGGTGCAAATCAGCATCATTCTTTGGGGACTCTTAACCCTGTCCCCCGCCCTGCTCCCCGTCACCTCGCACCCCAGCTCCCGGATGAGGTGTATGGGTTCACTAGGATCATGATTTGACGTCAGAGCAGAGGGCCTGGGTTTTGGTTTCCTGACTTCAGGTTAATTCTCATCTACCACATCATCGTGCCCCACGTGTCAGCTTATTTTTTTCTGTTCTGCAAGGGTCAAGACACCTGTTCTTGTCTGGAGTAGAGTTCATTGGCCAGGCTTACTTCCCTGCCAGTGTTTCAGACGGCTAAAAAGTGACCGACCACTAAATAAGTCCTTAGAAAAATACCCCGTAGCTGGGAATCCCACAAAATGGAAGACTCTTCTTTTTAAAGTAAAGTATCTCTCACCTGATCTTCAGATAGGCTGCAACTCCAAATACCAACAACACCACAGCAATGACTGTCACCGTAATGGCGGCAATGCTGCCTGTGAAGGAGGAAGAGGCCGGAGAAGAAAATAAAGAAGTGAGTTTAGTTACTCTCAAGTGTTCAATCTCAACCTTTATTTATTTGTTTGTTTGTTTGTTAGTTTGTACTGGCTTGGGGACTTGAACTCAGGATCTGGGCACTGTCTGAGCGTTTGTGCTCAAGGCTAGTGCTCTATCACTTTGAGCCACAGCTCCACTTCCAGATTTTTTTTTTTTTGGTGGTTAATTGGAGATAGGAACTTCTAGGGCTTTCCTACCTGGAGTGGCTTTGAACCATGATCCTCAGATCTCAGTCTCCTGAGTAGCTAGGATTGCAAGTATGAATCAATACCTACCAATCTTTCCTCTGAAAGAAGACAAAGTTTTTTTGTTTTTTTTTTACTACAGATAATTATGCATGGAAGTCAGAGCAAGCACAAAGCCCAGGATCTTAAAATAACAATCAAAATACTGTGCTACTGGAATATTTTTAATGCCAAACAAGGTTCAGTAATGGCCAATAAATCTTTCAGTATTCATCAAGACCTTTCAGCAAGCTTGGCATTCAGAGAACAATACACAGTAATACTTGATTATCGTTTTAGGAGTGACTTGCTGCAATGTTGTACCTAGGGTAGTAGATTTTAAATCACTTGATATTCCCTTTCCTTCTTTTACAGGCTCTGGCTCATTTTTATATCACTTGTGTAATATCTGGAGACAAAATATTTTATTCCAAGGGTTACAAAAAAGTAATAGAGTTTTTTTTTAATAAACCAAAACCACACAGCTGTGTCTGTAGTGTCCACTTTAAAAGGGTCACTTTGGTAGTTGTGCTAATTTAACAATCCTATTGTGTCAAAGCATGTGTGAAAAATAAAATAAAAACATCTTTGGGAAGTATGTTCAGCTTTCATGTTTCAATACTAAATTTCTATATACAGAAAATAAGTCTGTTGTCAAAATAAGGTCACATGTAATAGGCAGCACTGCTTTTTGCTTGTTGAAATAATCAGCTATAAGTAAACCGAGTCTTTCTATTTTGTACTTTGAAATCTGGTAGGCAGCTACTAGCAATCAGTTAAAAACAAGTTGCCTGCTTTCATTTTCACCTATATACATTGAATATTATGACTTTATTTGTCTATCCTTCCTCTCTTCACTGAAAAAATGCTTCTTGAGGAGTTCATGCCCCAACTGGTTAAAATTTATAAAGAAGCTGGGCACTGGTGGCTCGTGCCTGTAATCCTAGCTGCTCAAGAAACTGAGATCTGAGGATCATGGTTTAAAGCCAGACTGCATAGGAAGGTCCATGTGATTTTTATCTCCAGTTAACCACCAGAAACCTGGAAGTGGAACTGTGGCTCAAAGAGCAAAAGAGGGATAGTGCCCAGGACATGATTTCAAGCCCTACAGCCAACAACAACAACAGCAGCAACAACAACAAAAACAACAACTAAAAAAAATGAGCCAAAGGAGATCATTAGATTATTGCTAACATGAAGATGAAGACAGCTTGATGTCTTCATGGAGACTGACCATGTTTGACCACTTTCAGATCCTACACGTTTCTGACACTCGCTTTCTTTGCTCCTGGAATCCTTTTGAATCAGATTCTGTAATTATCAGTATAATTCCTTTTGGCTTTTGCCACTTAAAGATAAAATTATGCCACTGATCATGCAAATGTGCAGATTGGGTTCAGCAGAAAAAGTCTGAGGTCAGATCCTCTAATGTAAACCCCCCACTTCTACTTTGAAAGGTGACTCTTAGCTTCTTGGCCTCCAAACTGTGCTGAAATTAGAACAATTCAAAGTTCACTAAGGTCTCATAACAGCCTCTTTTAAGAGCTTGTGAAAGGAAGATGATAACCGCAAGGTACAGTGTTGGGGGCATTTTAGGATTAAAAAAAGATACAGCCATTGCAATTAGGAGCTGGTTTTTGTTTTTTTTTTAAACTGACCTTTTAATTTAATTTCTACCTTTTTGAAAAGAAGGGACAAGCTGATTTCCCTACAAGACTACCCCTGCCCCCCCCCCCCCCCCCGGCCCAAGGGATAGCTGAAATAGGAAATCAGAGGTTTGGCCTTTTCCCAAGTTCCTTCCTTTACTCCAGCTCTGTGATTTGCTGGGGTTATTTATATACCACCTCTTTCTAAAATAAGTTGGCAATTTCTCCAACCCAAGCGCTATTCTTTGTGTTGTTGTTGTGGAGACAGCAAATGATAGGAAGACTTGCTTCTCTTCTATTGGATGGTGGGGCTGTCCAGAGTCGGGATAGCCCCAATCTTCACATGGGTCTCTTCAAGACTATACTTCCAGGTCCACAGATGGCATCATCCAGGATACCCAGAGCTACCCAGAACTGGACATTCGAGTGACTTTCTACCTGATAGGCCCCAGAGAGTCTAGGTAAAGGCACACTTCGAAGAGTTGGTACTGTCAGCCTGAGGGCAAGATATGTGACATAAAATAATTTGTGTTTACATATTTGGACTTCCTTTGTAATATTCTGTGACTCACTGCCTGTCCTCAGAGAGTGCTAACCACGGAAGTCATACTCTTCTAGAAGTAGAGACCTTTCTCACCCCTGAGCCTAGGAAATCCTATTTCTTGAGTGTTCTCTAACCTCTTTAGCAGCTGCTGTCTCAGAAGGTTCTAGTCACCTCAGCTCTGGAAAGTTCCACACCTGAGGACTTCATGATCTGGTCATATGAGGGGGTTGCTAAGCCAAGGATACCCCAACTTCTATGGTAACTGACAAGGCTTCATTTCTGGCTTATGAAAACAAATGTTATTTCCCCTTGGGTTTTGTTTAAACGAATCTGGAATTCCCCCTTTGTCGTTCTACTCTTTTTTTCTTTTCAAAGCAAGTAGAAAAATGAGGAAGGTGAGGGAGGTACAGACACTAATGGGCTATGTACTGAACGTGTAGGATGGGAAAGTTGGCTGGCACTTCCTTTCTTCCTCATTGGTATTTGCAAGTTACAGACTGGGCATGACTCATGCTGTAATGCTCTGGGATAGGCAGAAATTAAGAGAGAATTGGAGGAAACTTATTTGTATATTTTATAAACCAAGATAAAAGAATATTCTACTGTGCTAGCACATTCCATTGTGCTAACATGTCTTGCCTAACCAACAGGCTGTTGAAGATCCATAAATCAATGTGTGCTTAAGTTTTGTGCCTACACCAAGTCTGGGATTTCTCAAGGTGCCTTTTTATGCCACTTTCCTAATGGCCCCTATAAGAAGAGCAAGCAGGCTTAAGAGCAGTTATAGCTACTTATTTTTTTGTCCCTGATTACTTAGGAGGAACACTGGGCCAAGAACTCTGCAGCTCTTATCTTTATAAGAGGTGTGGATTCATTTCCATTTTATAGATGAGAAACCCAGAAAGGTAAGAAGTTGGTTACCAAGTTTTATACCTGGTAAATGATTGAGCTAGTATTGTTACCCAGGCCTATTTCACCTAAGTTTTTAGAGCATTATTCATTCACATGCTGGTTACTTCCTCTTGTAGGCACTAGTAAAGATGGATTGAAGTTCAATATTTCAAGTTCACTCAGAGTAGAACTAATTACAAGCAGACACAAGACACTGAACGGAAAACTCAGAAGGCCCATGCCATTGATTGCTAACATTTGTGTAGCCCCAAATAACTAATCCTGCCACAAATCCTGTGCATTGTTGTACTGTCACCTAGTATTAATGTGAGGTTGGCTCTAAACCCTTCCACAACCAAATCTAAGAATGTTCAAGTCCCTTATATAATATGTAGAGCATTTGCATACAACTGCCACACAACTTCCTGCCTACTTTTAATCATCCTTAGACTACGGACACTACCTAATACAATGTAAATGCTCTGTAAACAGTTGTTGGAGTGTATTAAAGAGTCATAATAAAAAAAATCTGTACATGTTCAGTAGGCACAGTTTTTTTTGGTCAAATTCATTGGATGGCAGATGAGTGGATGTGGAAGGAAGTATACACACACACACATACACACATACACATACACACCCTTCCACATATATAATAATCCATGCCATGTGCTGCTATTTGCTACGTGGTGGTGGTGTTAGTAGTAGGTGTAGAATTGTGTGATGAGGAGAAAACAAATGAATAAAGAAAACCTCAATTCTCTCACACTGATTGGATACTAGGGGGATGCTAATTTCACTAATATTGAAGGTCATTTTGATGTCTGGCCCTGCATTCTGCTTGGATTTCACTCCTTGTCTTCCTTATTCTCTCTACTCCATGCCATGGGAAGGAAATTTTGTCTCCTCCTTCTTATCCCACATCAATCCAACAATCTAATCCCACATTATCTAACCAATCAAGCTCTTTTGAATGAGCTCCATGATTAAGTTAGGGCACTGTACAGAGAAAAACAGTCCACCCAATTGCATAAACAGAAGAGTGTATGATCAGGTGGACACACAAGCAGGAAATAGGGAGACTGGATATTTCTACCTATGACTGAAGGCGGTGAGTCTGTAAAGCTACAGCCATCTTTGGAAGAGGTGGGAATAAAGCTATGGTCTGAAGGATGGGCAGGACTTGGATGGGGGCAGGCGCCTACTGGGAGGAGAGCAGATACTTCACATGTCTGAGCTTGAAGGGTCAGCAGTGGGCTTGGAGACAGGCACTGCAACTGGAGCTCTGATCTAAAATATGGGCTGCTAACCATATCGAGGGCTACTGAGAGGGGTAGGTGAATGTAGCAGAGCTGTTGAGAGAGTTTGTGTAATAAGACATGAAAATACCCAAAGGCTGAGTGGCTGACTTTCCTAAGGTCATATGATTTGTAGAAGTGACAAACACGTGATCACGGTGTGCAAAAGAAGGGAAAATGGAACTGAATAGAAGGCGTGACAATGGCTGTAGGATGTCTCAGGGCCAAGTCATGGAGATTACTGAAAGCCAGACTGGTATTTGAGCTTGACAAGGTAGAAACAGAGGCTCTGTAAGTCTTCTGGGACGGAGGACACAGCATTTTCTACAAGAACCT